CAAGCAGCAAGGAATGCATCCAAGACAGTTTCATCCAAACTACTATGTTTTAATGATATGCGTTTAGTTTTGCGGAGAATTTCTTTCATTGGGTTAATCCAATCAATTGTCAAATTACTACAATAAATTTCGATTCCTTCAATTGATGCTAAATGTTCCAATTTACTTACAAATCGCATCATTCGATTAAGTGAAACATAATCGTCGTGATCAGGGCGTGAAAAAAAATCATAGTGATCAGTGTTTCTTCTTCTACCAAAACAATTAGTACTGTTCGTATAATTTTTTTGTACTATCCTTTGACGATTTGTAAGAAATTACTGAAACAATCTATTCGTACACGGTCAAGGTAAAAACCCTTTCTCATAAATTTTGATTGTTCGCCTCCATAGTTTAGTTTGAAACAACGTCCGGCAATACGATTCATTCGCTTACATGTTTGACCAATAGCTATCAAATCCTTTAGCGATAAAAAGTCGAACACTTCTTCGAAACAGTCGATGGTAAGTTTGAATATATCAGCCAATTGATGTTCATCGTTTATAGCAACAACAGCACGTTCAGATGGATCATTAGATTTCATTCCTTTGACACTTGTTCCACTTCGGCCGGCTTTTTGTTCTTGCTCCATTGTATCTGCTTTGTCGGTCTTCTGATAACGTATGTCATCAAATATGAAATAAAAAATGTTGTATATTGTATTAATGTCTGTAAAATTGATATAACTAACATTAGCATGTATTTGATGAAAATAAGAAGAACTAAATGCAAAATGAAATTTTTTTTTGCATACCTTCAATTAAATATAGAGAATTTAATGCGACGAATACAATGCTTTTTTTCGTCAACAACTGAGTCACTTTTCTTGGTAAAAAATTTGACACTTCATTGAGCGGAAGCGCTTTCTAATAAATTGATAATTGATAAGTATAAGTTTAAATGTTAAGTAAACTGTGTATTTAATGACACTTGATCGTTTAAGTTCATAATTTAATTTTTATTGAAATCATCATTGCATATAATTTTCCATAGTTAAAAATGGTTAGTTTTCTCGCCATAAAAATGAAAAATCGTGGGATAAAGGAACGTTTTTGCTGTTCAATAGAATGTAAGTTTTCGTTACCACTCCGAATAGAGTTCTGTTTCAAGACTTTTCTTCTTCAGTTGAGGGTTAATTCCATTTTTCAGTAACACATCTTCTGTTTAGTTTATAAATAGAATGCTTTAGATTTGAAAACTGATATTCGGAAAGAATTCAAATCAACTTTCGAATCATGTCATACGCTCTATCTTTCTCTTCGCGTTGCATAGCATCATTGGATTCTTTGGAAAATAATTATTCATAAAAATAGCTTGATGATGTGAAGTATATCTTACATTATCATCGTTTGGGAGATCAAGTAGCTCCATATATAATTTAATGTCGATGTAATCTTCTAATTGATCAATAGGTCTCCTAAAATCTCCTAATATATAAAGTGGTTGCATTTGGCACCATGTTCCGTGCCATCGAGGTGTAACGAATTGCCTTCACATTTTTGGTTTGGAGGACCTGACGCAAACCATGGCAGCTAGGAAAAAATCTTACGATACAGGAAGTTAGTCTTTTATTTTATTTCAAACAGTTTTACATTTATATTTTATTATATCTTTTCATTTGGCTGAGAAACACAAAAAGTTATATCTCATATTTAATTCTGGAACTAACTAGATTTATTGTGGTTTTTATTAAAACAGTTGTACATCATGTCAATTTTTCATTTTTAAACTATGCGCTTTGTCAATCCATATTCTCACACACGCACTCATACACGCACATAGACACTTCTCTCATCTCATAATGTCAAAATTATGGCATGTCTATTCCGCATCTGACAGAAAGTGTCAAATCAATATCAGTTCACAAACCAATTTCATTTATTTACCGTCGATATTGTCACAGTTTTTCCAAACAAACAGTGCATTAACTAATTGGCGTTAAACTCAATGGAAAATGGCACGATTTTGTTTTGTTTGCAATGAAAAGATGGATGTGTGGCGTCAGAATTTCACCAAACTAAAATTAAACCATTCAAAAATGTTATTGAGCAATTTGCTGAAGACGATTCTCATTGATATTCGATCAAATCGAAATGTTGATGACTGCAACAATTGTATTTGTCTAAAGTGCTACAATGTAATTGATAAATATGATTGGATGCGTTGGATGGCGAGAAAGAAAGAAATTCAATTAAAAAGTGTTCTATCGATGACGGAAAAATTGCTAGGCAATGAGATGGAATTCGATAATGGAGTAAAATGTGAGAATGATGAACATTTGGCCGTGATAGAAGATGAAGCATCATTAACACAGCAAGTGATTGATGGAAATACAAATCCTCAAAATGAAGAGTCAGCTGTCATGGTGATAATAGAGACAGTTCAAGCAGTCAAGAGTGAAGACGAGGAAAAAAATACCGAAAATGTAAAAGTTGAAGTCGACGATGAGGAAGAAGGTGTCAATGAACCAGAAGTATATGCAGGCGTAGTGAACCCAACTGGAATGGATCCACTGGATACAAACAATAAAATGCCACCAGAACATTTCGAAGAATTCGAGGAGTCTAGTGTAATGACTGACCAAGATGAGGAGCAAAGTGAAGTATCCGAGGATAATAATAAAATTAATGTCGAAGCTCCTGAAATGGGCGAGAATGGAAAACTCGCGATGGTATTATTGGAACAATTAAAGCAACGCATGGAAATAAAACGCTCGAAGGATGAAGCATTTTCTGGTGCGAATTACATATCAGAAGAGTGTATAATTTGCAATGACAGTAAAAAATATTGCCGATATCTTTATATGGTACCGCGTATTTTCTATCACATTTTCTCAAATCTTTCAATGATCATTAACACATTTAATTCCATTTTCCTTTTTATAAAACAGAATCACCTTAAAAAACATATAAAAATCGATGCACAAACATGTCATATATGCAACATACACTTTACGAATCGTGGCAAACATAAGGTAATCTATTTGATGACAATTTTTCGTATCAATTTTTTAAACTATTTAAGTAGCCAAAAACAAATTTGTGCCAATCGGACTTTGGTTCGGGCTGATCCGGACAATAACCATATTTGGGGACTGGTGTTTACCACACCAGTTTTGATATTTTTAACAGCCCATGACAAAAACCAAAAATTTGTCCACCATACCAAAAGATGCCAAAATTACTAATTTGCAATTAGCATACGTTCGTCCTGACGATGATTTGAAATAAAGAAATTTCTCTTCATTTAATAGCAGCTGTCTAGTATTCAACTGGTCCAAGCCTGTTTTTTTTAATTCCATCATCAAACTTGTATCTCGAACGACAATCAATAGCTGCAACTCATCAAAAATATGTACATTTATTTCTTCCCTTTGTTAGACACACCGAAACTTTCACAACCGAAACCCTGGGTTTGTTTGCTACATATGTTGTTTGCCACTTGAAAATAAAGACCTTTTAATTCAACATTTGAAACTACACAACAGCTTGCCTCATACTCAATGTGTGATTTGTGGTAAAAAATTTCCGGCACCAAATCTTTCCAAAATACGAATTCATATGACCACTCATGTAAATATAATGATATCATAATTTCATTGTCAAAAAACCCCAATATTTTTTCTTTCTTTAAGTTTGTAGCAAATAACATGTGTGATTTGTGTGGCAAAAAATTCAAAACGCTCAGACAAATGGAAGTCCATCGCAAGAGACATCTCGATGATCGTCCGGAAAAATGCCATCTATGCCAGAAAGCATTCAAATCAAAAGATGGCCTTAAAGTGCACGTTAAAACACATGTATTACACCAATTTTAAAAACTTTCCTTCGCGTGGACATTTGTAATAGAAGGATTTTTTTATTCTCTCAACAGACAGACACACAGCGACCTTTTGCCTGCTCACATTGCCCAATGAGGTTTAAACTCAAGTATCATATGCAGTAAGTTCTGTGCTCTTTTTAAGTCAAACATTATAGTATACAGTGATAATACCGAGAGATTTTCAGTCAGCTGAAATATTAGCCCATCTCGGTGTGTTCAGCAACTTTTTATATCAGAGTGTAGAGAGAAGATTGAATCTTAAAATAAGTGTTTGTTCTGTGTTTCTCTCTCTCTCTCTCTCTCTCTCTCTCTCTCTCTCTCTCTGTGTGTGTGTGTGTGTGTCTCATAATTTCTTTCATATTCCTCAATTGAATAATTATATTTCATTGGATTGTATTTTTTTCAGGCAGCATGAACGACGCCACATAGAATATACAAAAACGTTGAAATGTCATCTGTGTGAATCGTCATTCGAACACAAATTCCATCTGAATCAACACATCAAACGAAAACATCATGAATTGCCTGAAAAATGAAATGCCATTGGAAAATCGTCTTAAAATATGGGTTTTGATAATTACTTAACCTTGAATAGAAAAACTGACTTTTGAGTTTTATCAATAGTATTGGAGACTCCAATTTGGAGTTGTAAAATAAAAGAGGAACCAAATGTTTTTCAAGTAAATCGAATTTTTATTTATTCGTTCTAATTTTAAAATGACCTTATTGACCGCAAAAATCGTAATAAAACAACCGAATATAATTTGAATAAAACATGACATGAATTGAAACACGACAGTGAAACAATACAATTGTACAAATGTTTCCTATTTCTCTTTTCGAAACTAATTTTGAGCTCTAAATTCTTTATTTATTCGATTTCATTTCGTGTGTATTTGTCTCTTTGTGTTTGGGTGTCATCAAATATCTAACTCTTGCGATATCGCGCGGGCGGCAAACATGATTCAGAATACTCCAAATCCAAAGGTTCTTTCCTTATCCTCAAAATTTCAAATCTAATGCTTGAATCGTGATATTGATCTCTGTGTTTATTAAAATTATATTCGTAGTTGATTACATTGGTACCGTTGTTTTTTTTTTATGGCAAATACACTTGTGACGAATCAAATTCGGTTTCTGTGACCGGCATATCGGGTACATACAATGAAGTTGACGGATCTTGTGAATTTTCTGCACGCGTAAAGATAAAAGAATAACCAATTTGATTAGTGCATAACTCAGAAGTTAGAATTCATTTATTCTCGGTGAATAAATATCCTGTATTTTCCTGTCTTTACGTTGTGTGTCTCAAATTGTGTGATGCAATCGATAACAACATTTTGTACAAAGACAATTCGATTTGTCGTGTAAATTCCGGACTAAATGACTTCCGCCGAGAAGATTTTCGATCAATCTGCTGAGCGGCGTATTGGCAGCATCTTTTTTGTGAACAAAGCAATTCGCTTCCATTTTGACTTGGGATTGCTTAACAACTGGTAACGTTAATATTCTGATATAAAATTTGAATTAAGAAAATCTTTGATATTTTAAAGTCATCGAAAAATAAACTAATCGAAAGTAGAGGCTCCTTCAAATTGTCAACACCAATAGATAAGGTCAGTTTTTATGACTACAGGTGTTGGCTCATCAAATTTGTTAGTTAAGGTTCGCTAGTTTTAGTCGTTCCACTCGGCACTTCGGCTCCATGTCTTCGCTTGATATGATCTCTTAAGTAGAATTTATGTTCGAACGCAGCCGGACAAAAGAGACATTTTTCCGTCTTCGTGTCTTCTGTATGGCGCTTCTCATGAACTCTGCAAAAAAAAAAACAAATTCTTTAATAAACCTCTTTTGATCAGTTTTAAATTAGCAGTACAAGTTCAGTTTCAAATAATCTAGAAAATAGGCTATATTAATAATTTTGCTATGATAAAGATTATCAGCCATCACGCCACGCCGCTAACACAATTTCATTCAAAAATTGTGTATATATGTGTGTGTGACTAAAACCAGTAATATGACACAATTTTCCAACACATATGGACGAAAATTCCCCGAATGACATTAATAACAGTCGATTATATAAAAAAAAAACAATTATCAGAAGATAAAATTACTGCATATGATCCTTGCGTTTGAATTTCATTCCGCAAATTGAGCAAGTAAACGGTCGATCCGTCCTCTATAAAATAAAAAGTTCAATCACAATGTTATTCCAATTGTTTGGGTACAGTAAAAACAACTTACATGGTTTTTACGATGACTGAACATAGCTTGTCGGTTTTTGAATAATTTCGGACAATATAGACATTTTACGGTGGGTTCTTCGGCATGGAGACCTTTATGATTATTCAACGCACTGCTGTTGTAGAACTTTTTTCCACATTGTTCGCATAAATGGTCTGCTGGTCCCTGCAATGGACGAAAACATTACTATCTCCAATGCAATATTGTGTTAAATTTTTGTCGATTGGGAATAAAGCGGTGTTTAATTGAACTTCATAACTGTTTATTTGACATAACATCGTTCCTTCTATAATTTTCTGAAAGATGTATATTCTCTAATACACAAAATCGTGTTACATTATCCCCTGCAACACTTGCTGAAATTTTGGACCCCATTTATATTTAAAGCTGATACTGGCTACGGAGAAGTGCGGGCAGTCAATAGAACTGTGCAGCACTTGACAGACATTATATTGAGAAATTTCAGCCAGATATCGTCAGCAGCTGAAATGAAGTGAGAACAATAGAAGTGATATTATGGCTATTACACTTACATTGCTCACAGTCATTATAACAATCACTTTTATTGTTTCCACTCCATTTCAGCTCCAGACGATATCTGGCTAAAAATATCTCAATATAATGTCTGGCACCTGAAGAAAGGGTATCATTTACAAGGTATCCATAACAGCTCTGGCCATATATTAAATGCTGGCATCCTATCACTAAGTAAATAGTCACAAATAGCGCTACTATTCAATCAAATCACAACTATCACTCAATTGTTTCATTCCATTATTACTCTTTTGGCCAACCCACTCACATGAATTAATACGTGTCTCTGCAAGCTTTGCTCAAAACTGAACACCTTGTCACAAAGAACACAACTAAATGGTTCTTTTTCCTCGTGTAATTTCAAATGCGCTTTGTAAGCATCCTTGTCTTCCAGCTGATAATGACAATATCGACATGTGAATCCAGGATGACTATCGTGCCATTTCATATGCGACTGAAAAAAATTGTTGATCAAAAAATCAGTTGAAATTTGAATATTAAAAATAAATGAAATATTACCCGAAACAGGTTCGAATGTTTAAATGATATATCACATTTCTGGCACATTTTCTTGTGCGTTCGCATATGTTTCTGGAAAAAATAAAGAATATTCAAATTTTTTATGTAATTAATAATAATTGGTGTTTAATTTACCGTCATTGCTTTTTTGTTATAAAAGACTCCATCGTTGCATAAGTGACATTGTTTTCGAAATTTTGAATAATGTTTCGCTGCCAGGTTTGGAGTGGACGATGAGTTGAGCGTTTTTGCGGCCGTTGATGATGTTGAGGTTGGCAGACTGCGTACAAATCGTGGAATGCCATTTTTTGGCAAAATCATGGGAGTGGACGTAGTTTGAAGTCCGGTTGGATTCACTGATGGGGTCAAGGCACCGTTGAGAACTGTTGGCAGTGTTGCCGTTTTATTCGATGGTTTATTTGTCGGCAATTTAAGTACTATGAATTTACGGTCTTTAGATTCATTTTTCTTTATCACCGAATCGTCTTCCAATGTATTGATGTATTTAACCACTCGCACTCTCATCAATTTTCCATTATTTCTTATCAACATTTCCTTGGGCTTTGAATTTGTATCGGGCAACGCAGCTGGTATTGTTTCCATTGAAGCTGTTCCCTCCAGTGACGGTGATGAATCGATTGATGGCGTTTGTTCGTCGAAATCTTGCTGACCATTTACCAATTTATTGACGAAGACGGTTTCATCATGGTAAATATCAATTGGTGGCTCGTTTTTCACTTCGACTTTAGTCGCCAAATCAGTCTCGGTGCTCAGAAGCAGTTTACGGAGTTCATCTTCTTGCTGCTTTACTTGGTCATATATCAAATCGTATTTTGAAATTCCCTCCAAACATCCCTCGCAAATGCAGTTTGAAGCATCGTCCACGTTTCGATGCGAGAAATCTCCATTGATGACTCTTTCAATGAGCTCACTAATTAGTTTTTTCGAATGCTTTGACTGGATTTTTGTCAGGTCTCGCTGTAATTGTTCTGTATTTTGATTACACACGTAGCAAACGTCTTCCATTGTTGATGATTTTGTGTTTTCGTAATACTTCAATCTTTATTTGTTTAAAAACTTGACGCTTGAAACTATAAATTTGAGCATTCAGATATTATATGTATTTGAATGGAATATTTGACATTTACTGTCAAATAAATTGAAAATGAACACCAGTGCGTTGGTTTCGACAAAAACTGTCACTTTGTCAAATAAAAACAAAAGTGTTATGTCAAAGGAATTTGTAAACAACGTTCACTAAATGAACGACAGAAAAATTCCGAATTCTTGCCGATAAAAGTGGAATTAATTCATTTATAACACGATAATAAACGTGTCCATCGTCATATATTCAACAATGAATGAAGACATTTGTTATGTGTGTAATCAAGTCTCGGATAATTGTAATAAAAATTTGACACAATTAAAGACAAATCATTCGGGTAGACACTAGAGGCAATTCACTTAAAAATTGCCTTTCTATTATTTAATAATTGTTATTGATTATTTTTCGATTATTTGTCGATTATTATAAATTAATTTTTTTTGTGATTCTCCCCTTAGGTAGACAAATCAGTGAATTTATTAAAAATCTGCTCAATGGCCAAGTATCCCATCGAAACGTGGACGATGAATCTAACTGTATTTGCGAGGGATGTTTGGAGGAAGCTTTCTCCATCGATTGGATGGTTATGCAGGTGAAGCAACAAGAAGATCAACTTCGTGAAGTACTTCTGAGCACCGAAACCACTTTCATTAAGGCCAAAATTGAGCCACCGCACGATATTTGCCATAAAGCAACGGTTTTCGTCAATGAATTCAACGGAGATAATAATGAAGTCCGAGTGAAAATTGAGCCCGATGAAACGATTCGCGATGGATATTTGGCAGCAAAGAATGACGTGCCGCAAACCAATTTAATTAAAACAACACATACAGTACAAAATACCATTAAACCACCAAAACAGCTACCGGAATCGATTGCAAAGACCAAATATCGAGAAATTTTTGTGAAAAAAGACGGAAAAGTTGTGAGAGTGAGACTTGTGAAAACGAATGCTGATTCATCGACACTGAATTTGTTTAAATCGAAAGCGCAAGTGGTGTCGATGAAACAATTTCAGCAAATGATAGTTACATCACCGACACAGGCAATATCTAAATCAAACATGCAACAAACTGTTATAGGGGGACATTCAGCAATCAAATCGACTCCAATACAGATCTCTAATACCAAATCACAACCATCGATTGGTGCCAAAGCATTATTGCCATCACCAACATCGTCCTTCACAGCCTGAAAAGCAAACATTCACTCCACCTGGAAATCAAATTGAGAATATACGGCGTCTGTGTATATATTGCAACGATGGACAAGTATACACTAATAAGAGAATTTATGATGTTGGTTTGGATAAAATTGGAAATTCAACGGTTTTTTTTATACTTACCCCTTTTTTTTCCACAGAGACATATTCGAACACATGCTAAGAAACATTTTTGTGATAAATGCGACACACAACTTCAGAATTTTAGATCATTTCGGGTATGCTAATTTTATTCATCGCTCTTGGGATTTGATCGAACCAAGTTTCGGATTACAATTAGAGAATCAAGCTCTTTTGCTATTATTTTTGTGATATATATGTTCCCCACAGAACCATATGAAATGGCACAATGAGCATCCAGATTTCACTTGCCGGCAATGCCTGCATCATCTAGAAGATAAGGATTCGTACAAGGCTCATTTGGATTTGCATAGGAATAAACCACGTTATGCCTGTGTGATTTGTGACAATTATGTATCAGGTCATGTGAGTCAATAAATCTATTCGCGGACACACATTAGACGTCTCTACGGGGGCCATGTATGTGCGAACAATTAAGCTGTGAGAAATTCGAAAAAATAACTGATGTGAAACATTTGAATGCCGTGTCTAGTCTTCTGATTTAGTTTCGACATTTTTTTTTCGCAAACAAAAAAATACAAAATTCATTTTTTTTCATTGCAGGGAGAACCCACACATCTCTGTGAACATTGTGGAAAGAAATTTTCGAATAAAGTTAATCTAGTAATTCATCAGGGAAGTCACATAGAAGAACGCACCGTAAAATGCCTGCAGTGCCCAAAATTATTCAAAAATAAATATTATATGCTGAAACATACTGTAGTACACGTGAGTACTATCTATTTGGGTGATATTATCCAATATCCATCTCTTTTGCAGATAGGGTTTTGAAAGAAAAATTGAAATCACATGTTGATTCTTTGTTTTATAGAAAACGGATCGCCGCTTCGCCTGTTCAATTTGTGGAATGAAATTCAAACGAAAAGGTCACATGGAGTAAGTCTTTTTTGCTGAACATTTCATCTCTGTATGAAAAATAACTACTATTTCAAAGAAGAGAGAGTGATTTGCATACAACGTGATGGAACAAAATCCTATCATTCACTTTTATACAAATTAAAACTATTTTTAGTCAAAAAAGAGCTGTTTTCATTGCCAATACCTCGACATCATTATCTGATGCTAAAAATAGAGCATTCATAGATTTTTTTTTTTTGCAGAGTTCATTAGAAGAGCCATACAGAAGACACGAAGACGGAAAAATGTCTCTTGTGTCCGGCTGCGTTTGAGCACAAATTCTACTTAAGAGATCATATCAAGCGAAGACATGGAGCTGAGTTGCCGAGTGGAACGACTAAAACCACCGAACCTTGACTAACAAATTTGATGAGTCAACACCAATAGTTGAATTAACTGAGCTTACTGCGAAAAGATCTATTTTGAAAGAGCCTCAAATTGTATATCATAATCGATCTGAATATGCAAGAAAAATTCAGCGAGAAAAATAATCGTTGCCGGTTGTTGAATTGTAAAATTGTCTTTTATAAATAAATCAGTTTGATTATCAATTTTGTCAAGTGTTTGGATCGTTACACAGAGTATTAGACATAGACATAAACTGTCAACATTTGAAATTTAGAGTAGAGTCGCTTGCGAACGCTCTTTTCGTTCGTGCGAATCAGTTGCGTTCGTGCTTTCAACAAGAGAAGACATTTTTGCATTTTTACGGTGAGCAAACGGTAAAAAATTAATATACATAAAATACATCAGAGAAACGGTAAAAAAATTATCGCCAAATCAGCCGTGGCCAAGCCATCCGATCGAATAGCACAAGTTAAAATGGAAGTAAATTGTTTTGTGTGCAACAAAAAGACAACAGAGTATCAGCGAAATTTGACCAAAATTCGGTCTGGTTTCACCGATACGCCAATCAGCCAATTGATCGAAAATCTTCTAGACGAAAATCATTCGAAGCAGAATTTACACGATGAATCGAACTGCATTTGTCCAATATGTTTGTTGGAATTATTGGAATACGATACAAATCGCGTGAAGGCAAATCAACAAACACAGAGACTTCGTGAAAAATTGCTAGCTAACGGAATCAATGACGATGTGGCGCCAAAAAATGATCGACCACAAACTGCTGATACGAATACTGTAGACGATGCTCACATTGACACAGCAGATTTGATTGTGGTACAAACAACAACAGACAATGACGAGAAAAGCATTGTATCTACGACACTGGAAAATACATCACATAATTTGATGTCTCAGCGAACGACCGATAGACGAACAAGTGATAGACAAAAAAAGCGTAAAATCGAAAACTATACACCGCCGCCAAAAAGACAAGCTGTTGAAAAAGACAACAAATCAGTACGGCCAAAAATGAAGACGAGATTGAATCAATCGATGCCATCATTATGGTCCCCGGCACAGCCACTTGACCAAACGTTTCAAGACAAAAGTACAGAAAAAGAGCAAATGCCACACGATTCTGAATCGAGTTCAAGTCACGAATGTGTGCCATGTTCCAAAACGTTTTCCAGACAATCCGGTTTGCATCGTCACAATTTGACTGTGCACGCGAATAAGCAACAGTGGTACAAATGTAACGGCAAGGACTGCGACAAAATGTACAAATCCGAATCTGGTTTCAAAAACCACCGTGATCGACACCATGATTCGAGCACAACATATGAAATCGTGCACGAGGAGAAAACAGGTACCGAAAATAAATAAGTTACAACTTCTGAACTTTGTACTAATCAAATCGGTTAATTTGTTATCTTATTTTTTTGCACGCAGAAAATTCACCAAATCTGTCGACTTCATCGAACGAAACCATTGTATCGGCCATAGAACAAGAGATAGCTATACAACAATGTACGCCATGCGGTAAAACGTTTAGCAATCAATATAGTTTGAATCGTCACAAGAAGACTTGCCGCGGTGAAAAGCAACAACAACGATACCAATGTATGGCGAATGATTGCGGTAAAAGTTACACCACCGAATCCAATTTTAACCAACACAGAAATCGGCACCACGATTCGAGCACCACATTTGAAATTGTGACCGACGAGAAAAAAGGTACCTTTTTACCGAACAAAATTGGTTCCAACTTTTGAGGTGTGTTCTATTTAATTTTGTGCTTTTTCTAGGCAACTCCACCCAAGTAACATTCGATGTTTGATAACACAGTTGAATGGACGACGAACAAAACGAAGCAACGATGCTGATTTTTTTTTTTTACATAAGACGATTTGATATTCAGATATATAGTCTAATACATAAAATTCAAAATTAGCTACAAAAAGAGATAAAAAGAGAAAAACCATGTAATTACTGTACTTGATACACAAATAACTTTTTGGCGGCAATACTTAATATTGACATTGAAATCAATTCAAATGATTAGAAAGAGAGTCTTCATTTGTTGACTATAAAATATGCTTTTTTATTTATATATCTAAACTCAATTTTAAATAAAAATTATGAAGAGAAAAAAAAACCGGATCATAGTTGAATAAATTTGAATTTTTTGTGTCAATTGTGTTCGTTTGCATGGTCTTTAGACAGCAAATGTCACATTTGAACGATTTGACAAGTGTGCCAAAGCGGTGCACACACTGCGAATGATATTTAGCCGATACCAATTGAATATAGAGCGCTGAAGAGCAAGGACGGTAAAAAAAAGAGCACGGTCAAACGGTAAAAAAAAAAATCTAAAAAAATCAAATCCATCAGATTCCCTGAAGCGTCAAAATGGAAGTCAATTGTTATGTTTGTAATAAAAAAACCACCGAGTATAAGCAAAATTTATGTGAAATCAAGTCGGTGATATCGAATATAAAGGTCAGTACATTCATCGAGAAATTCTTAAATGGTAATAGTTCACATCGGAATGTGAACGACGAACGGAATTGTATTTGTATGGAATGTTTAGAGCAAATCTTTCAATACGATGTCATGAGCACCCAAGTTGTGCTACTTGAGCATAAATTCCGTGAACTACTAAACTCGACCGAAATTAGTCAGCGGAAAGAAGATTTGGGGACAATAAACGAACAACAGTTAAATATTTTTGCGCATGCCGTATCAAATCTACTTGGACAAACAACGGCCCAACAAAAATTCGATTCCAATGCCATTTTCAATTTATTAACACTTCAAAAAGCCGAACAAAAAGCATCGGAAAAGTGTGTAAAACGAAAAATCGATCTAACAACAAGCGATTCACCGCCAGCTGCTAAGAAAAAAATCACACAAAAATCGAATGAGGCCAAGCCGAAGGTGCATAAACCAATTGTAACTGTGGCGTCGAAAACACAATTGAGAAAAACAGTAAAATGGGAAGGAGATGACAACGAAATAGGCGTGCACGAAACAATTAATCAAACGGTTGTACAGCCACCATTCATAGTGCCGTTGACACCACCGGAATCGGAACCAGAGATAGAATCAGAACCCAACCAATTGAAAATGCTAAGAGATTTAACGGAGAATGAAAACAAAAAATATGAATGTCCAGTATGCACAAAGGAGTATACCGTTAAATCCAGTGTGTATCGTCATTTAAAAGTACATGGTAAATATATATTCAATGAGCAATGGAGATGTTTTTCAAATTAATATGGTTTCTATTTCCGTTCTTTCAGAAACGACGCGTAGAAGTTTGTGAATGCCAAAAGAATCGACAAACGGAGCAGACGAAGCCAAGCAGCTGAATGTATAAATGGGCAACACACCAAAAACGCAAAGCGATATTTAGAATATGGATATAACCCAATCATTTCATCAAATTCAATCGACGACACAAGAAAGTGATATTTAGTACTATAGAAATGACAATTATTTATTCTTCACAATAAAAAGCAATTTATCTAAACAAAAAAAGACAAACCAAAAATTTGATTATGATTCAATAAAAAATAGTCGATCTATGTAAAAAAAAAATCTGTTTTTGTTTTTGCCTAACGTTTTGTTTTTCATACTTTGAATAAAAAGGGGTTTGACAAACCACTTGGTTTTGAGTTAAAGTGTCAAGTGTATTTGTCAAATTGCATTTGCCGCGCAAATTTTTTCCGCTGTTTCCATTGGGTGAATGTGCGACTATAGCAACAAGTACGCTCCGAACAGTAGCTAAAAATTAAACCGTTCACTTGCATGCAAATTGCACATGAAAAAGTTACTCGTTAACACTCAACCAAGTCGCAAACTTAAACGAACTGCTAGTTTAGGTATCAAAGCCACAATCGAAGAGTCATTAAAGTCGAAGGAAATTTTGCGAACAAGAAAAAAATCAAATTCGTTAATAATGGATAAAAAAAATGAAATGGCACGATCAAATTCACCGTCATTGTCACCAACAGCAACATGGGAATTGGTACCTCGGCCATCATCCTCAATGGAGTCAAGGTCAACAACGACACCCGTCAAAGATCAAACCGAATTGGATGATGTATCGTCATCATTTACATTGTTATCCATGTCACCATCATCGAAACAAAATTCAATGTTAAATAGGCCATTAAGAGAGATACAACCGGATGAATTAATGCGAAAATCATCCAAATCAACACCGTCGCCACCAAATCGATCGGCTGTGCAAAAATATGTTCCACCAAAGAGCCAACCGATGGCCATTTCAAATCTGAACAATATGTCGCGGTCATTTGTAATCCTATCGCCACCATCATCGCCAGCAAAAAAGCTTCGAATAATTGAGAATTGGTTTTCACCACCAAATTCGAGTTTGAATGAAAAATCGTCTTCACCGACCTCATTCACGATTGTCTCGCCGTCGGCACAACGTAATTATCAATCGACCCCGTATGTTACATCGACAAACACTGTGCCTCTTCCATCTTCAGCCGAAACAAAATGGATGGAAATTCCGTTATCAGCGTCATTCATGGCGATATCACCGTCATCGTCATCGATACAGCCACCGAGTCAATCGGTTGTACCGGTTAACAGATTCCACCCGTCAAATGACTTAAGGGTACCTTTATTCAGATTTGATTCCACTCCATTTTCATTAATTATTTGTTGTTTTTTTATGCTGAAATTAGGCACAGGCATTCGAAAAGGGTGCCTTCACATTAACTGCACCCAAAGAGCAACTCGACCACAATGATATGGTATCAATTGAAGATTCCACTGTTTTAAATACATTACGAGCCAACGTTTCGGAACTAAGACCGTTAGAATTTGATGAATGGATAGAGAACGAAGAGAAACAACTGGCCGAATTGGATGAAGAAGCAAAGAAAAAATGTTTATTATGTGAAAAGACATTTACACATTTATTTGGTCGTGAACGTCATATGAAACTTCACGAAGTACCACATATGCGGTATAAATGTAAAAAGTGCAAAGATGAGTTTATCACAAAATCAGGTTTTAATGTACATGCACATCTCATGCATAACAATGTCAAGCCGTCGGAAATCAAGTTTGAGATGACAGTTAATTCATCATTGATAGCACCGTTTTTTGCTAATTTACCGCAACCCACACTACCGATGCCAAATTGGCCAACAGACATCACACCATTGAAATGGTTGCCAATTGTAATATGCGCAAAGGTCGAATGTTCCCAACCTTTTTTGACCAAATTTGGCTTGATAAAACACTTAGAATTACACGAAAGACATCAAGAACGGTATACGTGCTTCTTCTGTGATGGAGATTTTTGGAACAATATGGAGTTGAAGGTACACACAATAAGAAACCATCAAGCTGAGGGTTCACCAATGGATTCCATACCAACTCGAATGGACAGAATTGCGTTTGAAAAAGACGTGATAAAGACCATGGAAGGTAGGGTTTACATGCATTTGGAATTTGTACTTTTTCATTTGAATTTTTTTCAATTGCAGAACGGCGGAAAAAAAAGCAATCCACGCTATGAGAAAACACTACGCATACATCATTTACAAATCGAGACCATAGCCAAACGTGACGCACATCATTTTTTTACTAGTCTAGAGACACCAATTTGCATGGGCATTCAGGGCCAACTACTACTTAGGACGAATCCAGAGCTAATACCAAACGGATAAGCATTTTAAATTAGTTTAGAGACATGAAAATTGCATGAAAATAATTGTATAGAGAGCATTTTATAGGGAATCAAGTATAGTACAAATTGAATTAAGTGTAATTGTATATAGACAAAAACGACTAGTAAGACTGAACAATGATTTTATTCAAAGTAAAAAAAATGTCAAATTTATAACCATTTTAAATAAAAATTCAAATTTTTTCAAAGGGAAACCATAAATTTTCCGGTAATCGTTAATTCAAATATTTGAAGCGATCTCTGTTTAAACTGGTCGGTTTAGACAGTATTAGACAGCGATAGACAGTGTTGCCACGTGCGACATAAAAGTGTCAACATCGCCACTGTCAAATCGCTATTATTTTTTTTTTTTCTTTTGTTGAACTGTCATCATGAATATGTCAAAATAAATGCATTTGGAAAGCACGCCAGCATCCATTGCATCGTCAAAATCATTGGATTTACACTAAGAAAAAGAATAAAATTCCGAGTACCATAACATCGAATTAATTGACCGTTTGTTGCGAATAGTGTCATAAAATTGAGCGACAATAAATTGCAGTGCAAAAGACTTAAATCGAAAAAAAAGTGAAAATGGATCAACTCTACAACGTATGGAATTCGGTGCAACCATTATTACCACCACCATCGTCGTCACGGTCGTTGAATCAATTTTCAACGCCACGATTCGATACATTTACGCCATTACATCCCGTAAATGCGGATTTGAATCCGGTTGGTAATGCATCGTCTGCATTATTACCACCGCCATCAACATTACAACAACAGCCGAATCAATCGAATAAAAATCAAAATATGTCCGCACCACCAAATAATGTGACGGCCGCATCAAGTGGTTCATCAAAAGTGAAAGAACAATCGGGACCGCCACCCGGTCATGTGCGTCGTTCCCGGCACGAATGTATGATTTGTTACAAACCTTTCAGCAATAAATACAATTTGGAGCGTCATATGCCGTTGCACGATGAAAAGCAAAAATTGTGGAAATGTAAAACATGCTTGCGAGCATATACCACCGAAACAATATTCCATTCGCACAAACGTGTCCATCATAAAAACGATGAACCGTCGACCATTAGCTTCGAAGTGGTGTACGAACTTAGAAAAGGTAAAGTGTCATTCAAAAAAGGTAATTTCTCAATGAGCAATTCATTCTATACCCCGTTTTTTTTTTGTGACGATTGTATTTATATTAAATTCAATTGGTATTTTTATTTCACAGAAGTACCGCCAGGCAAATGGGGACGCAAATTAACATCCGAATGTCCGGTATGTTTCAAGAAGCTGAGCAATAGATACAATTTGGAACGGCATATGAATGTTCATGAAGAGAAGCAAATGCGATATAAATGCAAGAGCTGTGAACGAGCATACAGCACATTGTCTGCATTTAATTTGCATAAAAATAAATATCATACTGCTGTTCATCCATCGACCGTTGAATTTGAGGTTATGTACGAGGACCGAAAAGGTAAGCTACTCATCATCACCGTTGAAGATCTTTTGTTTGGGACCAGTCTTTTTTTAAAAAACAAATTGTGCATTTTTATTTATTTCCAGAAAATCCACGCAAATCCGGCCAATCAGCATCCGATCGTCGATGTTCCAACTATCATGTAGAACAACATAACAAAACAAAGCCATGGAGCTGAATTACAGCGAATAGACCATTGGACAACACAACAACTTGTCCACACTCATACACATACACACACACAAACACATACACATACACACACCTGAAATAATAATAGCATTAATCGGAACATTAGACTTAAGCATACTGATGATGAGAAATTCCATAAAAAACATATATGGATTTAACATGCATTGACCATTACTGATGAACAAAAATTAATGAGTTTGTTTGAACTAAAAATAATTATTTTGATGCCACTTTTATTATTGACATAAAATTTTATTTGAACGATTCTCATGATTAGACATTTAATTAAGCCTAAACAAAAAGTTTCAAACCAGGCATTGTATTGTAACGACTGAATAAAACGTTTTTACTTCAATAAAAAAAATGCATTCCATTTTTTGTTTGCTTCGGAGGCAAATTCATTTTCCATATAATGTTTTGTTTATTTGTTTGGATCATTTTTTTTTATTTTCACACAAATAGATGTTTTGACATTCAATTTGACGCAAATTGTCAAATGTTTTCATTGAACTGTCATTAAAATTTTATCGCAACAAAAACCGACCGTAATTTTTTATGTATGTGCGATGATGCTGGAAGACAACAAAATTCAAGTCGGCGGTAGGAAACATGACAATTGGTAAGCTTTTGCTCTGACCATTATCTCTGTAAATCCATGATATGACTCATGTTTCGTATTGTATCTACTTATTTTATTTATGTCAGCAGTGTGAGAAACCGTGACGAAAGGCCCAAGAGGAACTGTAACCGGTCGTGGAATGCATATTGGTCTTGTGATAATGAGGCGGCCAATTGACAACGAAATGATGGAAAACCGTTGCGGTTGTGGAGTGAAGCCACGGGCAATGCTGAGCATATACGAACAACATTAATATTATTTTTAGAATATTCCGCTAGAAATAGACGCTCACGAGGCACCAAACCAACGGCGCAAGAACCAAAGTCTGTGCAGCCAGTTTTTTTATAAAAATATGTACCACATCATGTGAATACCCAACCTGCCGTACCGAAGAATTTTAATATATGTTTTTCCCTATTTTAAATTTATTTTGCCTGCAAAGCAAAAATATTCAGAATTGATGAGTGTTGTAAATCGCAGATGCACACGGTTTTCATCCAATAATAATTTTCATTTTGAATTTTTTCCAGGCCAAACATTTGTGATATTTGTGGTGTGGAGAAAACAAGACAATGAGAGAGATTAGCTGCCATAGATATAATGTAATTAATGAAGTTCAACACAATTCTAATCTCCATAATATCGTTGCATATTTTCACTGCAGTGTGACATCAATAATAATTGAACTTTTTCAAGGATGATTTTTTAAAAAATTATTTGCAATTTTTTTTTCTATAGCAGTGTTTCCACTGCAACGATTGATGTGCTCTGTCTTATCAGACATTACTACTTGGACTTTTCCATGAATTGATTATTATTATTTATATGAATGTCCGAGATTGAATGTGAGTCTTCTCGTGAGAGTTTTTAATGAAATGTAACACCGCCATACAAAAAATGCTGACTGTCAGCAATTTTTGTATGGCGGTGTTACATTTCAATAAACTCTCACGAGAAGACTCACATTCATTCTCGGACAATCATATGTGAAGGAAGGCTCCGATTGGAGCCAATTACATCATATAGTTATTACGTGACAGCCGAGATGGTCCATACCAAAGAGAGTATACAATTATTTTAAAAATTACACATTTAGACCACATTGCCAATTTAAAAAAAAAAGGTTTCATGCATCAAAATTAGGATAAACTGATGAAAAATGGAAAAGCAAAAAATTCCATTCAGCTAATATGAAGAAAAGGATTAGAGTCAAAAATTAATTTTGCTGAAAATTAATACAAAAATTTAAAAAAAAAATTAAAATAATTTTTTTTTATTTTTATTTCATTTTTAACCAACAATTTTTCTCACCATCAGACAATTTAATTTATTTTCTTTTTTTAAATAAAAAAATATTCTAGAAAATAATTAGTTTCGACAACGAGGTCAAGCGATGAGACTATAGCAATAATACACATATCGATTTTATTTTATTCGAAAAAATGTTTCCAAGGGTCAAATGTAGATGAGATGCAGCAGTATTCATGGGTATTTTTTATCAGTACAATTTAACTCTATCGTCCCCGGCTTAATTGAATTTTTTCAATATTTTTTTTTTTTCGTGAAATAATTATTGCATCAAAAATACAATATTTGGTTAATTTGTACACTAATTAATTTAGAAGATTTGTTGATTTTTGAAGCATTAAAAAAGTGTCGGCTAAAAATCTTTGTTCATATCAGTTCTACTCTAAATCAATTTCAGATTTGATCGGAAAATCCAATTCGTTACCTGATAAATGGTCGAAAATATTGGACTACTTCAAGCACCTTAGCTGAAAGAAAACTTACTGATGGTCATCGCTCCTAAAATATTTCGGAGTCGGATTAATGTGTAGACTGAAAATGAATGTCTATTTTATTGAAAATCAGATATTTTGCCAAAATGAAAATTTATTATGGTTTTTTTGCTTGCAACAAGATCGAAAACATTCTTGATTATTATTTAATGTCACAGTCTTCACGGGAATTCTTTAAAAAACGAACAAGTCGTACCCTTAAATTTAAAAAAATATGTTTGCACCATAAATCAATGCCAATTAGGAGTAGAGTATTTTTCAATAGTCTCGTAATAAAAATATATAAGCTATAATTGAAGCTATAATTGAATTCATGCAAAATGTTAAAATAGTCTGTCTACTATTGTCTGTCTGTCTGTTTATATTTGCTCGACACGAAAATTGTAGCGATTCGATGTTTAAACTTCATTCGAGAATTCATTGAATGTATTGCTTACTTCGGGTGTTGGTTTAGACATGGACCTGTAGAGAGAATATTGTACTATCCAAAAGTATATTGGTAGCACTGCAAAAGGAAAGTTGGACATAAAATCGCGTTTACTCTTTTTTGTACATTTGGTTATACCTGAAATTATTAATCCAATTAACACTTCATAATCTTTCATGGGTTTACCACCGATGGCACTAAAAGCACCAATTACCACAAAAACCCATGGTACAAATAACACGAGTATTAGATAGAGGAATAGATTCGGTAGCATAAAATTTCGATTGTCCTGATTTGTTTGGAAGAGAAAAATTATTTTTTTTTTCAAAATTTATCTGTTTAATTAATTGTTTTAAAATCACTCAAGGGAATTTTTTTAGACTATGGAACTTACGATCAATATGCCGTAAATCCATGCCAAAGAATTTGCTACAAAAACCACTAAAATATAAAATACAACGGAATTTTTGACATCAGAAATTGATAAGAAATATTAAAGTAAATGCTCCATCAATTTAGCAATAATTTTTCATTCGCTAAAAATATTCACGTTGGAATCCTTACGCATTACACATGTAGTAACTAATTTCGCACCGACGACAATAAAAAACATTTCAATGCCAATGTTCATCACACCCAGAATGAGACCAGCATTTCTCAAACTAATAAAATAAAAACAATGGGTCACAATACACATGTTGACTCCGATTAATTTCGAATAAGTCCGTTGATGAATTGGTTGTATTAAAACTCAAAATGAATAAAAAAATTATATTTCTTGGGGAAAAATATTTTTTGACTCTTTGGCCAATTTGATAAAAATATTGTTCAATCTACGCCTTATATTTTTGGTGAGAATTGTTGTCTGCAGTAAATAACCGGTTCCAAATTGGCTGTCAAATCAATATATAGGAATATTGTTTACAAAGAATATAGAATACAAAAAAATGAAACAGAATAAGCTTTGATATTGCCTTGAACATAATTTGACAAACAACGATAGGCGCCTGGAAGTAGGTAAATTTACTTATCTCATGATTTTGTGTTTCACCTCTGGTTGCATGTATCAACTGTAAAATGTGGTACACTGCACATAAAATATATATTTCTCTCATGTTTTGGCTGTTATGTTAAATTCGGATTTGTGTTTGACCAACATTGATCAGGGTGTGCCTTTTTTATTTAGTTTAATTTTTTATTCAAAAACCATCTTAACAACAATAACAATTCAAAATATGATTGAAGTAATAAAAGAGATTTGAGGTATTTATGATCAAAAATGAGGTGAGTCGGTATACTTTTTTAACTTATGCAAGTTATATGTGTATCAAATAGGCCATGCTCAGTTAACAATTAAGTTGGATCCTCTTATTCTTAATTGTTTGTTCAAGGCTATTTCAGTGCAACCTTTTTCCACATTTTTGTTTTTGTTGAGAGAACTCATTAGTTTATATGTAACCGATTATCACTAATCATGAAAGTCATTTTCATATAAAGCACCATTCAAGACATCCCAAAATAGTCATTTCAATTATGATTTTTCACAAGGGAAACATTGTAACTTCCATTCGATTCACTTCATTATTTCCTTCGGACGACTGCAGTTTAACCATGGATTTGTAAAGGGAATACTGAACTATCCAAAAGTGTAGAAGTAAAGCTGAAAATGGGAGTTTGAACATAAAATTATGGCTACGATGTTGTTTAGTTAATTTTCCTATACCTGAAATGATCAGCCAAAGAAATGTCTCATAATCTCTTTGGGGATCACCAAAGACCGCCATGAGCACATAAGTACATATTGGAACTGCTACTGGTACTAAATGAATAACCAGATTCGGGACCATCAACATTGGCTTGTTCTAATTGAGAGAGGAAGAATACATATGAACCGCCTAGAATAAATCAGCATTACTAGATAAATGTCTTCAAATGCGTTATAGAAAAAAGTACGTCAGCAAAAGCGTGTCATCGTCCATATATTTTATAACGCTTTTGCTGACTGACTTTTTTCAGTAACGCATTTGAAGACATTTATCTAGTAATGTTGATTTATTCTAAGTGATTCATTTATTCCTTAAAACTAAAATAGTTGGCAAAGAGTGGTAGTGAATAGTATTTAAAACTCACTGTTAAGATGCCGTATATCCATGCAAAAGAAGTGGCCATGAAGAGTACTAAAATAGAAAATACAAATGAAAAAAAAAGTCATTGTTACCGAATACCGATGTATGACATAACATTCTCTCTAAAAAAAATCACGAATTTCGTGATATTCGTAATATTGTCCGGAATCAATTCTCTGACTATATGACTCAAAATCTTTTCAGGAGAAAATACTTACGCATTACTATCAAATTCACACCAAAGGCGACATAAAATATTTCTATGCAAATGCTTATAACACCCAGAATGAGACCGGCAGTTCTCAAACTAATGAAATAAAAGCAATTGGTCACAGTTGGAAGCATTTCCACTTTGAACAATTGGGAAAAAATGTAGATTGAAAGAAAATTGGTTGGTTGTCAAACCTCAAGTTGACAAGAAATTTATTGTTATTTGTTTTTATTAGAACATTTTTTTAAAATTCTTGTTTAACTTATTGGATGAATGCGAAACGGCTTAAATTGAACTGCTTCTCGAATTTAATAAAATGATTACTTGATATCTATGACACGGAAATAGACTTGTTGTTTGATTTTATGACAACAAATAATTTTGTTTGACATTAGCTGTCACATTAGTGAATAGTAACAGCTGAGCAGCGCGAATTGTTTATATATGGTATATGTGCTGGAGGCAGAAAGCGTGTAACGAAAGAATGGGACAAAATAACTCTTAAAATTACATTGATAAGCGTCTTAAAGTCGTCAATTTTCTGGTTTCTTTTATGTTTTGAGTATTTTCTGCACTTTTCATGTTTTGAATTATCGAAAATATTTGTTTGCAGCACAAATTCATAGTAATGTAACGAATCCCCCCTTCCTTTTTATGGCATTTCTTTTTTTGAGTTTGTAATCTATTT